AAACCAATCCAATTTGTGCACCTGGCTGACTCTTAGTGCATTTCAACTCTCAATAATGCTACAAATACACAAATCTCATCTTGTCATCATCCTCAATAGATAACTCATATCATGTTTGTTGATGGATCTTACATTCCAACTTCTAGTCATCCAGGTAACGATTTTATAGTGTTATCTAAAGATCTGAATGTCCTATATGCTGAAGCAAGGAGAGTTCAAGGCTTTTCCGCAACCCAAGCAGAATGGTGAGCCCTCCTCATGGGTTGGGTTGGGCATGTTCACGGCAGTTCACCGGCATGCTTTTGTTTTTACTCAAAATAACACAGAAGGCAATTAATAATTTGCGCACTCTCATGGTAACGTACCCAACCCAGAAACTCTCTCAAGCCCCCAACAGCCAAAGTTTTTCCCTCCTCATGGGCCTGAAGAAGGCTATTATTTATTATCCTGGGAATTAAGAACATCTTAACCTTTTGTGATGTAGTTATTGTATGTTTACGGATGGAATGCTTTTATATAATCAATATAGTTTTTTAGAAATTTCTACGTTTACGTGGCCTCGGGATAGCACGCCATCTAGCACATGTAGCTAGGGGTGTAAACGAATCAAATTCGAATCGGATTATGCAATATCTAAATTTAAATCCAATTAAATAATTTGATATCCAAATTCGATTCGATATCCGATGGATAATGAAAATTAATATTTGAATTCAAATCTGATTAAATATTTAAATATTCAATTCAATTTAAATTCGACTAATTAATTATTTTAAGTAATTAATAAATATATAAAATAAATATTTTATTTATATAATTTAATTATTATATATATAAATTATATAAAAGATTTAAAAATTTTATATATTATATATAAAAATTAAATAATGAATCAAATTTGGATATTTATTGAAACGAATCAGGTAGTATCCGAATTCGAATCCGATTAGTTACTTGACATGAATAAGATATCCAAATTCGATTAGATATAATTAAATCGATCAATTATATTTAGTCTCGAATTCAAAAATTTTCAAATACGATTGACGTTAGGTGGTAGATTTTAGCCTCGCCACGTAAAAAACCTGGTTCTTTTCCCGCCAGACGCACTCGCATGTGGCCTCTCACATCTAACCAGCAGTGAACGACATTCCAAACGATCGATCGTTGGATTTCCACATATTGGCTATAGCTTAGCTCTTTTGTATTTTCCATTCTCATGCACAACCGCTGCTGTGGTAAGCCTTTTCACCTTTCCTGCACTCTATTCTTTCCATGTCTATCTTTTTCCTGTCTAGAGAGACATAGTAAGACTGATTTGTTGAAACGTCGCAACCCCAGACAGATACTCCTGTAAACGAACTTTTCTGCGTAAAGAACACTGGCTTTATTCTTCAATCGTCAAGGAAAGAAAGTATTGCTGGATTTTGCACGTAGGTTTTACTTGCAGAGTAAAAACCACTAGTTCTTCGTGGGTTTCCTTCCTTTGATCACATAATGGCTTCTTCAACGTTCCATGGTGCCGAAAATCTCATACCCATTGAGGAATAGCTCCAAAAGGGTTGGGCTCTCTGGATTCTGATTTCCCTTGAAAATGTTTCCCCAAGATGGGTTTGGTGAATTGTGGTAGGAATTCCAGAGATAGAAAACCTAGCACCAAGTTGCAGTATCTTTGCGAGGCCAGCTTCTCAGCCCAGATTCACACAACACAAGGAGGCATTTATTTCCCTTGAAAGTGTTTCCCCAAGATGGGTTTGGTGAGTTGTGGTAGGAATTCCAGAGCTAGAAACCTAGCACCAAGTTGCAGTATCTTTGCGAGGCCAGCTTCTCAGCCTAGATTCACACAACACAAGAAGGAGGCGTTTTGGTTCTATAGATTCCTCTCCATAATTCATGAACATGTCATAAAACCTCTCCACTGGACTGAGTACATGAGGGACGACGCCCTGGAGGCTGCTGGTCTCAATGATCAGAATACGAAAGTGGTGGATGTGGGGGGCGGGGCTGGCTTCGCTACTTTGGGTATAGTTAAGCATGTGGATGCCAAGAACGTCACCATTCTCGACCAGTGCCCCCATCAGCTCGCCCAGGCCAGGCAGAAGGAAGCCTTGAAGGACTGCAAGATTATTGAAGGTGATGCTGAGGATCTTCCCTTTCCCACTGTGTGCCGATAGATATGTATCTGTCGGATCCGGATGGTAATTACCCACTTTCTTTCTCATTTCTTTCTGTAAATTTACTCTTTCAATCTATGGATTGGATAGTGGATACTATTCTTGAGATTGATTGTTATTATCAGAGAAAAATCCTGTATGTATGCATGACTGACAAACTGAGAGAGAGAAAGGTGGAGGGACTTTTTTTTTCTGATAGTTATTGTATGATTCTTCTCGGTATTGAGTACTGGCGAGAGCCACAGCGAGGCATCAAAGAAGCGTTCAGGGTCTTGAAACCAGGAGGAAAAGCATGTATAATTGGCCCTGTGTGGCTGTGTATCCAACCTTTCGATTGTCTAGGTTTTTTGCAGATTTGTGGATGCTCTTCCCAAAGGAGGAAGAATACATTGAGCGGTTCACAGAGGCTGGATTTAAAGATGTTCAACTGAAAAGGATTGGTCCAAGATGGTACCGTGGGGTCCGTCGGCATGGCTTGATCATGGGATGCTCTGTGACAGGAGTGAAGACTCAGCCTGGGGATTCTCCCCTGCAGGTAATTTCATCTTTTCATCCCGCGTTTCTAGCATATATTGGCTATTAAAAGAATAACCTATATACGTTTGCTTCTTGCCAGTTTCTGGCCATTGCTTCATTTGTTCCAATTTTCTTTGTAATGAGAACCCTGTTCATTCCATGGTAGTGGTGACTCTTCCTTCTAGCTGCACCATTTTGGCTGCTGGGCTTGGCATTAAGATTTCATATCAGTTTCAGCATTCACTTAGAAATTCCTGATCAATTGGATTGAACAGATAATTCATAAATACTGAGTGAACTTTTACAAAGTCAGATGCAGAGGAATATGATGTTATCATGGCATTGACTATATTTGAAGGAAAGGTGATGAACCCTCAACCCTGGTAGATAACAGACAGAACATTTCATGCACCTTCAGGCTTAAGTAATGCAAAACTAATAGCAACCATGACGAATTTCTAATGGACTCAGAAGACTGTTTTGTGTGTATAATGCATACTTTTGCTTGGTTTTGCATGGTATTTGGATTTTTTTTCAGGGAGGTGTGCACTTGGAGTGTAACTTGATATTTAGTGATGCTCATGCATAACCCGATAGAAACTCAGGGTTTGTTTGGTTCGCAGTTGGAATTGGAATCGAAATGGTCCATTCCCATAATCTGTTTGGTTCAGACAAAAATGAGAATGGAAATTAGAATCAGCAGGAATGAGATTTCATTTCCAAGGGAAGGGCAGAGAATGGCCATTCTCTCAAACGGGGGAAAGCATTTCCAGCAGGAATGGGAATGAGATTCTGATTCTGTTCAACTAAACAGTTGGAATCAGAATAGCCCATTCCGATTCCGATTCAAGACCCCTAATCCCGCGAACCAAATAGGGCCTGAATAACTAAAGGTGGTGTGAATGTGTATGGTCTTAGATTTGTTAATGTCTCTTGGTCTGGTTGTGAAACAGGTTAAAGAATTATTATGATGAGTTTGTTGATGCAATTGTGCTTTAACTAGAAAAGGGAAAAGTGGGTTTGCTTGTATTCCCTATGAACTATTATGTAATGAGTTTGGTGATCTAGGTTATGCATTAATTAAAAAAAAAAAAATAGAAGTGCTTTAATTCTGAACCTTACCTACACTCAGTTTTCTTAGCTTGCACAAGACATCTAAAATTTCTTTTATTGATACAGCTTGGTCCAAAAGCTGAGGATGTAAAGAAGATATGCTGGCAAAGTCAAAAAATAATTCAATTAAATCTGTTTGTGGGAGATTTGAATTAATTGGACAAAATGAAATATTTGATTATTCAGTCAAATTCGAATAAAGTCAGCCATTTTAAAGAGCATCAAATAATAAATCAAATTGATTTGAATCATGATTTCCCCGATTCGCTTTGAATTCACTCCGTTTACGCCCTACATCTTTATTAGACCAGTCGCTGAAGGATGACCCTTTTCCTAGCTCATTCAGGGAAGATTTCGTAGCTGATTGCCTGAATATCCATTCTACTGCATTTTTTATGGGCATAACAGTCAGTAACAGCTATTACTGATATGCACACGCAAACACACCAACTCACCAACCAATAGATTTAGGAAACCAACGTTAGGAAATTCTCTATTTGGTGTTTTTGGAAGGAATTATACCTCGAAACAAAGATTCAAATAGGTGTATCATATGATACGTACTGATTTTCACTGATTTCGATGTTTGAGAACGATGCTTTCTTTGGGAGTATTATAATGTTGAAACTATGTTCACTGATGCCATGGGGCTGAGCCGCTGGGCAAGCAAAAGCCCTCGTGAAACCATGCAAATCAACAATGTGAGGTTGGTGACACCTTTTCTTTTTCACCACCAGAATGACGAATATAGAGACACCCTTGTTGCCGCAATCTTGTTGGTGACATTTGAGATGGTTTCATCATCATCATCTCACAATGTACTTCCTTCCCTCTCCACAGCTAACAGCTTCACCTAACCACCCACCAAACTTAACCTATCCCCCTTCCCTCTTGTTCTCCTCTTTGGTTTTCTCATACTACCCATCATTCTCTCTTCCCTTCCCTGTTCCCCTCCTGCATGCAACCCTCTTAGCTCACTCTACTGATTGCACACAGTAGTAATATCACAGGCTCACTCTACTGATTGCACACAGTAGTAATATCACAGGAGTTCATGGGATAATAACTTTGTGATAGGATAAGGCACGAGGTTAGCAGAGCAAGGTTAAGAGCTCATCTGAGAGTGATATCACACGAACCTGAGACAAACCAAGCATGTAGTTTTAGGTGCTCAATGCACAAAGAGCAACAGAACCCTGGCAAGAACCACTCATTTCTTTTCTGGAATCGAGCTACCAAATGACATACATAGCAACATCAACTAAAGTACCAGCAAAAATACCAGAGAAGCATCTGAGCCAAGTCTTTAACACTCTATTTTGAGGTCTAATTTCTCAGGTCATAGAAAGAGAATTTGTAGGGCCTTATATATCCCATTAAGGTTACACTCTTTCATTCCCTGGTGATGGTGACACCAAGGAAATGGATGCGTTTAACGGAGAATATTAGACTCAGTGAATGTGACAAGGTTTCAACTACCTGATCCCAACCTCCGGACTTGCATCTCCATAGGAAACCAAACCCTTTTGTGCACGTGGGGAACTGGATCTAGATCCGCTGGGACTGGGAGACCGTGAATTTTTCTTTCCCCCACGATTTACTGGACCTACATCACCAGAAGATCTTGACCGTGATGAGCTATGGCCCCTTGACTTAGACTTCACCTTGTCTGGAGAATGGGTGTCACCCCCTCGTGGGCCAAGTCGTGATCGAAGCTTCTCACTCATGGCAGGTCGCTCATCCATAGGACTACGACTGCGGACTGGGCTGCGGCCTCGATCCCTGTCACGGCCACGGTAACCCACAGGACTTCGTGAGATGCTCCTACTTTGACTTCTTCGGTTTCGGTATCTAGCAAAGAACATGGACAAATTTGAGTATGAGTGACAAAAACTATGATGCTAATGCAATTATTATGCTATATACCGAAATGAGCAACACAATTTGTTCTACAGAGTAGATTTGAATTTATGGAAAACAAACTACAATAACCAGATACCTGTATACAGGTGCTAAAATTGTGTCAGATACTTGAATATTAGTGTAGAGCTAAACATCTGGCACTTTTCATCCATGTTCTGGCTGTACGTGGGTAAAAGAGGGTTCTGTTGACATTGTAGTTGCTTTTATTTAAGAGATAAAAATCTTGCATTTGGCAAACAGCCCCATAGAGAGCAACTTGAAAGACATCATCTATGCATTGAACATGAAATTGATAATAAGACTAAACGTTAAAAAAACCATTTTCCTTGGTGAATTCAAGCAAACAACCCAACTAAGAAACACGTCATTCTAAAACTTTTGAGATTGCTGGACTTAGCTCCTACTCAGCTTCCTCAAAATACAAATGAAGCCATCTTCTTCCTTTCTAATTATGTTATTTCATAAAATTCAGAGGTTAAAGCTACAAGGTCTACACTAGCAGTCAACTAGAACCAGTTTGTGAAATCATTAATGTGATATTAACCTTAAAAGTATAGAACTCAGATTCTTCTATAAATATACATCATCAAATATGACAATGTTAAATATCAAATGCAAATTACTGAAAAGTACACCATGCATCAACTACATGCAATGCCAAGTAAACAATACGTAAAACATGGTAGAACATTAATTTCTGTAACTATATACATAATAATCCAATCCAAGCCAGGTTTGGATCATCTTCACAACAAAAAAAGCAATCCTGTCCTTCAAGCATACCAAAATTCAAAACCAACTATAACATGGTCATTTAGCTTGCTATATGAGGTAACTAACTGCCTAGAAAACTGCAACCTTGGCAATCTTGCTGATTAGATGATACTACCATGAACCCAACAAAAGAAATAGACAAGGATAAAGGTGAATAGTTTGGTGGTCCACCATCCAGCACCACTATCAAGGAAAGAAAGCTTGCTCACTGTAACGAGGATTCTCACCTCTCAGAGTATAGTTGCATGTCAATCTCAAACTATGAATTAATTTGACATGAGAAAAAATAATAATTTCAGGGAGGACAAACCCAGTTGAAGGAAAAAAAAAAAAAAAAACATCTTGACAACCAATCCCATCAAGCTGGCATTGCCAACTTTTCCCCTCCAAATGGACCAGCCCAGACTGGCATTTTCCATCAGACAACCTGAGAAGACCTATAACCGAAGGCCTCAATTATTGATAAAATTATTACATACTATTTGTTAATTATGCCAACATTTATATTTAATGCTGTGAATAATATTATACATTAATAACTATCAAAAATATACATAACATTAATAATGGTATATCATGATTGAGATTATGATATGCTTCAGATATATACAGAATATTGCATATTCACCTAGATTATTTTTTTATATTTCTATGAATATATAATATCACAGATTAATATTATATATTTATATTTAGTACTTGTTATATTTTAGTTAATATCACATCGCAATACGGAATCATAGATTGGGTGTTTGGATTAGGTAATATTTCATTTTTCAATTAATATTAGGTTTTTATTATTAGATTAAGTAGGCTAACACATGTCTGGTCTCTGGTGGTAAACTAAATTAAAAACTTTTGGCTAAGAAATAAGAAGGTTAACACATCTGCACACTTTCTACACTGGTTCATACATAAATAAATGTAGAAACATGTACAAACATAAGGAGATAGAAAGAACCTGGGAGGACTCCTGCCTCTTGGTGGATTGTTGTAACGTCTAGGTGGTGAACGTTCAGAATAACCTCTGTAGCTTGAATACCTACCAACAGGTCAGAGTAAATTCAATACTTTTAACTCCCCTCTTAATTAGGTGATGAGTTGGCTTACCTGTCACGGTTCCTGTCATAAACATTCCTCCCCCCATAACGGTGAGACCTGGGAGGTGAACGGTTGGGAGATGGGGTGCGGTACCGACGTGCATAGGAGTAACGTTCACTGAAGCCACGCCCTTTTCTGATTCGTTTTGGAGTGCCTTCCTGAGGACTTCTTGATAAACTTTGGCGATGATTAGAAGTAGGGTTCTTTCTTGGACTTTTTGAAGAACTGATGCATTTTTGTCCACTCAACTTCTTAGCAGGACTTCTACTAATACTTCGCAATTTTGGGCTCTTCCTTGGACTTGTTGTAGGGCTCATGCTTGCACTCCTCTTAGGACTGATAGTTTGCCTCCTTTGGGGACTGTGGGTGGGGCTCCTGTTCATCAAGTAGTCCAAGAACTGTTACTCTAGGCAAACATGCAAATTTATAGATGCATTTAACCGTTCATGAATCGCACAAAGATATAGGGGTTAAAGCAAATCAGAACTGAAAACCTTGATCTGTTTGAATTATCATCTGAATCAGGGTACCGATTCACTATTTTTTCAGATTTGTTTTCTGATCCATGCCCATTGTTCACAAGTTCTCCATTTTCTCGAGAAAATTCACCCTCTTCATGTGATGAATTTTCCTCCCTATCCGGTTTATCTTTCCTTTGCTTGTCTGCAACTGCTACCTCTTTTACACGGATGGGGGATGATGACCGATTTCCTATGGTAAAACATATAATTGATCAGTCAAAATCCCATTGCTAATTATCATTAAAAAAGATTGAAAACCCTTCAGTGCCATGCATTTACATGCATGAATGGAATACAAAATAACAAGCTAGTCTACAACATAAAGAAAGTTAAAAATCCTTCCCATTATATAACAGAATCTAGACTATTAAGATCGAAACCAGCATACCAAGCTCTCGTGGTGACTTATGTTCAACATGTGATACATTGTTGGCCTTACTACTAGAATCATGATGACCAGCTTTTTCATCACCAGAGCTGCTTCCACTAGTACTCTCACTTTCTGAATCACTAGAACTATCGGAGCTCCTGAAAAAATAAAATAAAATAAGAAAAAGTAAGCTCCAGTGAAGAAATTCAAATACATATAATATAGCATCATAAGTGACAACCGAACAGCATACCATTTGGACTTGTGCCTTGATCTTTTATCATGTCTTCTTCGCTTCTCCTTACGCTGGCCCCTTCTTTTCTTCCCACGCCGATGTCTGTCTCTTTTTGATGACTTCTTCCTCCTACGCCTTCCATCACTTGATGAACTTGACTCTGATGGTGAAGAATCTGAATCAGAACCACTATCGGAAGAGGAGTCAGAATCAGTATAAGAGCTGTATGAATCAGACGAGGAGTATCTTCTTTTTCTCTTCATTCTTCTGTTCCTAACAGATTTCTTATGTCTTCCCCTTCCTCGTTCATCAGAACTATCATCAGAAGAAAGGGCTTTCTCTGGTTTCTTCTTCCTTTTTTCTGCTAGGAAATCACATAAATGAGTGTCAAAAAAGAGTTAGATATAAGGGTCAGTCAGAAATAGAAGTAATAAAATCAACTTATCATTGCATTCTAGAGATGATCTTTTTTTTTGATGAATTCTAGACATGATCTTGTAGTATACCTTTCTCTGCTCCAACTGCTTCATGGGTTTTGGTTGCAGAAGCTTCACCACAATCTACAATTTTTACAAGACTGATGGATTTCCCATCACTTGTACCCACCTGCTCAAGTTTCTTGACAACATCCATTCCCTGCACGACTTTTCCAAAAACAACATGCTTCCTGCCAAACAAATTAAAAAAAGACCCATCATTTCATGTAATTTTTATTATACTTCCTGGCAAAATGGAAATATAAAAGAAAAAATAATTGAATAGAAGAATATATCAAATGCATTCTATGGTCACTGCACATTCCTTTTTTTTTTTTTTTTGCAGGAGGGGGCAGAAAAAAAAATGTAATACCAGGCTATGCAGAAATAAATATGAAAAGATGTACCCATCAAGATGGCGAGCAGACTTGAAGGTGATAAAAAATTGGGATCCATTTGTGTCTTTACCAGCATTTGCCATAGACAGAAGACCTGGCCCGTCATGGAGCATCTTGAAGTTTTCATCTGCAAAGGAACAGTTAGCTTTAGCAAATTTCAATTGAACATAAACCATGCACCTAACCAAGAAATAGTACCTGCAAACTTCCCTCCATATATGCTTTCTCCACCCACTCCTGAAAATAATGAAAGGGAAGTTTTGATTTTCAGCATTAAAAAGAACTAGGAGCCAGGAAGAGGCATGCATCACAAGGAAGAATTCTAAAAGAAAAATGTCAATACCATTTCGGTGTGAAAAATCGCCACCCTGCAGGGGAAAAGAGATGTATCAATGAGACAATGGCAAAGAACAAACAAAATGAAAAGGTAATAGATAAGACGCTCTTCCCAGTATAATAATAACAAAAAACGGATGTCATCACACCTTTGCTATAAGAATGACAGACACCCTTTATTCCATAGAAAGCACCAGAGTGGTATGGGCTTTGAATCAGCACCATTGAACATCCACCCAATAGCAATTATTCTTTGGACCATTGATGGTGGTATTAATCTACTTCTAGATTCTAAATTAATACAAATGACGGTTTAGCTAGGATTTTCTAATCTTTGGCAATCCATAAAATGTAGGTCATGACGCCCAGGATCATGAGTGGCACAGCCAAGCATGACACTACAACAGCTAAATTCTGGAAATTATTAAATAATCAAAGGCAAGAGAATTTAAAGCATACATCAAAATACAATCTCAATAACTAGCTAGAACCTTAGATGTATTTATATAGTCAAAAGTGCCTAAGCAAACCAACACTGAATTGTTGCCCCAAACCCCCTGGCCCCTGGTGACTTATTTTCCTAGTGACTTTGAAGAACTCATTTTGGAATTTCCAATATTAACTATAACGAACTATACTGAGTATTAAGCAACCATATGCAAGTTTTTTGTTTGGGACCCATTATTCATGTGATAGGTCCTAAAGCATTTAGGCTTGATTTTTTATTTGATATAGGAGACTAAATTAGGTTTGATTTGTAAGTAAACAAAACACCACTATAGAAGAACAGGACCCACACAAACATCTTGAAAGCCTTTGTGCTGGGCTTTTTAATTGAGTTAGGAAACAAACTGGTGCAAGTAGAAGGTTCTAAAAGTTCAAAGGGAAGCAAATAGATGATGTAAGACAGGGTAGGCGGTCCTACAAGTTTCAGATCTGGTGGATTTTGTTGGTGAAGGACTTTGGATGATTAATAATGAAGAATACAGATAGAGAAGCTAGTAGCTAGCTTGTTGTCTACCAAAGAATGAATAAGAGATTAGAAAGGAGAACTCTTGCTGTAAGAGTAAGCAACAAGGAGATTAATCACTTAAAATAAGAAAAAGGTGAGACAGGGAAAAAGAATAGTTTCCTGGCAGCAACCAGAAATCACTAAACCAAACTTTATTTCATCAAATCTGCTCTTCTAAATTGCAATTAGAATGACTCTATCTGTAGACTCCAATTTGGGTTCAAAAACTGACCCACAACTTCTAAGTTCTTACCACTTTAAAACTAAGACAAACCCATTGGTAATCCATAATAAGGACTCTGACTCCAATAACACCTTACTAATCCTACTTGAACTTATTTAATGTAAAGACACCAAAATTTACTAAAAATAGTAACTTTGCAATCTTTGTATAAATAACAATTATGGGAGTCACTATAAATAGTAAGTTTGAAATTACCAATAAATAGTAATTTTAACTTACTAATAACAGTGCATTTCTAAAAACCTGAAAACCTATTCCCAAGGCTAAAAGGCGTTTTAAAGCCATTTTTTCCCTTCCAGATCCATTAGCTTTTCTGGGATTCCAAAGAGGCTCAAACAAATCTAGCTAAGCACATGCTGCTGCATCAATAAACAACACGAATATAAAGTGGAAAAAAGAATTATTTAAGAATTTATAACTTGAAAGAAGATATAGTTCATGGTAGAGTACAGTGGCAAGGATAGGATTTATACAGCTAGCCTCACATATTTGGGATTAACACAGTTAAAGTTCAGCTGAGTTTTTATTTTAGTTAGGAAACAAAATTAGATTTGATTTGTGATTGAAGAACATGAGATAACTTTCTAGTTTTAATTAGGAAACAACTTGATTTTAGAACTAGAGTGGGATCAACACTACTCTAATATATTTTTATTTTAAAATTGAAATTTATTTAGCCCAATTTTTCCTTGGTGGAAAGCCTAGCTACATGTTTGAAGAAGCCTCCTCTGTGAGGACTTTGCCCATTGGAAAATGATAATTTGGACCTCTTGGGAGAATTTTCTTATCAGAAACAAAAATCTAAAATTTATTAATGGGATATGAAGAAAGAATAACCAGCATTCCAAAGATTAACTAGTGAATGCAACCCAAAGCTGAAATTCGATTAACAGGGTAATTACCAAAGAAAACAATTACCTCATAAAATCAGAAACAGTACACACCAAGCTGCCCAAAATAACTTCTAGCTGTTGAAACAAAATTGTAACAAATAAAAATTAAGATTGATGGTGAACCCCCAGTCCAGGAATCACCCAATCAAGTGCAGACCAGCCAACCAATGACCCAGTAACTGAGATGGTCACCCAGCATCCCTCTGAACATGGAGACGCGGGATCAAACCCGTGTAAGTGCAGACTCTCTGTGAAGGTCAGTGGACCTCACATGAACCCAGAGTTTATAACTCTGGAAACACTAAATAGATTAATAGAAATAGGAAGAAATAATAAGTACTAGTGAAAGAGGGCAAGCAGTTAATATTCAAACAAAAAGATGCAAACAAAATAAGAAAACTTTTCTCCAGAGAAGGGAAAAAAGCCACTTGGAAGGCATACCAGTTTTTTTGCTTTGATAATCTTTTTGTCAACAGTCAGGGGATATCTGTATAGGGTTGATGGTATAGTGGTTTTATACATACACTTTATACAACCTCTAGTTGTACTTGGTTTTTTTTTATCAATGAATTCTATACTTTACCTTTTCTCAATAAAAAAGGCACTTGGACTAAGGCATTAGACTGGTTGCATTGCTCACCTAAAACTAGTTTTTTTTTTTTTTTTGAGAGAGAGAGAGAAGTTAACTGATTTCACTGAATAGAAAGAGGGGGTACACAAGAAGGCATGCAAGTACAAAACAGGGGTCAGACCCCTAAAGATTACACAGGTGGAATACCTGTGTAAAGAACTACCTGGGACCCAGCCTTAAAGAACTACCTGATTTCTAGCTCAGTTGCAATGCTTTAACAAAATTAAACTACAAGAATACTGAGCTGCACCAAACAATCAACCTGAAAACTCCGATGAAGCTAAAAGAAACAAGAATTTCTAAATTGAAAAATTTTGCAGACTAAAATTTACTTACTTGAGCCATGAACCCTTTAATTATGCGATGAAAAATTGATCCTTTGTAGTGCAGAGGTTTCCCCGTAGAAGCCCCTATTCCTTTCTCACCTACAATGACGCCTTGGTTCAGAATCATCAAAAGCTAGTTTTTTTTATTGATATAAAAAAAAAAAATAGAGAATCATTCAACATTGTTCAAGCTTATCAACTAGAAAAGCAAATATTATACCAAAGACCAACAGTTTATGGAAGCATGGATAGAATCTCAATCAATATAGCTGACACATTTGACCCATCAACACATAGTTCTTGCCCCAATGAACGTACACATAGAAGAGCCAGTGATTTAAAAGGCATGCCTCGCACAGACAAGGCACATTTTAGGGTAGGTGCCTCGCCTAGGTCCTAGCCTCCTAGGCGCAGCCCTTTCAAAAGGCACACGCCTGGTGTGCCTGATGTGCCTTGCGCCTTAGCCCAGGCATGCACCTTTTTAAAATTCTGCACTTTTTGCTTTTTTTGACCCTAACAGTTGACCCAAGGACTCCGCCCTCAGACCCCTGTGCCATGCCCCTTGAGGCAAGCCCAAACAAGTCCATGCTAGGGTCTTAAATTCTTAGTTCTCATACAAAAAATAATGATTTTATAATTTTAATTGCTTTTTAATAAGATATTTTAGTAGGATGAATGAATGAACCCCCTATTTCGTTATGTTGTTCATTCATTCATCCTACTAAAATATCTTCTTAAAAAACAATTGAAATTATAAAATCATTACTTTTTGTGTGAGAACTAAGAATTTAAGACCCTAACATGGACTTGTCTAGGCTTGCCTCGAGGGGTGTGGCACAAAGGTGGCTCGTAGAATCAGGAATGTAATATGTTTTACATCATATTAGCTACTTTAAGTAATGCAATTGAGGAAAAAAAGAGATTGTGGGTTTTACATGCCTGAAAATATTTTATATGTTTGATTTTATTTTTAAATTCACATTTGAATATGCTTTACATGTTATGTTTATATATTTAAATTTTAGAATTTAGATAAAAGGTTTTTTAAAACATTTATTTTAAAATTTAAAGTTTATATTTTTATTAATATTACGTTTAATATTTTTTTGCATTTTTTTTAAATTTTCTGACATTTTTTTATTTTTTAGCATTTTTTTATTTTTGTGCCTTGCTTTAAAAAGGCGTGCCTTGCCTTGCGCCTTGTGCCTTAGGCGCAAATTGACCCATGCGCCTTTTTTGCGCCTTGCGCTTTTAAAACACTGAGAAGAGCCACTAACAATTTCTCAGCATTACTCATGCTAGATTGAGTGGCAAAAGGAAACAAGGTAAGAACCATTATTTGATTCTTCCCTATTCTATACTAGGATCAGTGATTTAAAAGGCATGCCTGAGGTGCGCCTAGGCACTCAAGCAAGGCAGATTTTAAGGTATGCACCTTGCCTAGGCCCTAGATGCAACACTTTCAAAAGGTGTGTGCCTAGTGTGCCTAGGCATGCGCCTGGTGCACCTTGCACTTCAGCCCAGGTGAGTAACTTTTCTTATTTTTTGCGCTTTTTGTTCTTTTTTGAACCTAGTGGTTGGCCTTTTCTTATTTTTTGCGCTTCAGCCCAGGCGAGCCCAAACAAGCCCATGTTAGGGTCTTAAATTCTTAATCCTTATACAAAAAAAGGGCAAAGCTCCAAGAACCCCCCCCCTACTTGCTAATGTTGTTATTCATTCATCCTAGTAAAATATCTTCTTAAAAGACAATTAAAATTATAAAACATTTTTTATATAAGGATTAAGAATTTAAGACCCTAACATGGACTTGTTTGGGCTTGCCTCGAGGGGCCATAAAGGCGGCTCATAGAATCAAGAACACGAGTTGTTTTACATCACATTAGCTATTCGAAGTAATGCAATTGAGGAAAAAAAAGAAATTATGGGTTTTACAAGCTTGAAAATGTTTTCTATGTTTGATTTTATTGTTAAATTTTCATTTGAATACACTTTGCATGTTATGCTTTTGTATTTTAATTTTAGATAATAGGTTTTTTAAATATTTATTTTAAAATTTAAGTTTATATTTTTATTAATATTATGTTTAACATTTTTGGAAGATTTTGCATTTTAAGACATTTTAAGACATTAATATTATGTTTAACACCTCGCCTTGCGCCTCGGGCACAAATTGCCCCTTGTGCTTTTAAGACATTTATTGGGACAAGAACCAAACCATTGCTTGGGAAAGAAAAGGATCAAGTCAGACATATTAGAAGGTTAGAATCCACAGAAAACCAAGTTTTCTATTCTTACTTCATTAAAAGAAACTTTGAATTGCAAAGAAAAAGGGAAGAAACTTTACCTTAAGAGAAAATGAAAAGTAATTACATGCAACTATACACAAGCCAAACTAACATCCATGGATTATCGATCATAGTATTTAAAATAATCCAAAAATCAGAACTAAATGACAATCTATCCCACATCTTCTAACTCAAGACGGACATTTTTCTATTCCAATAGTGAAAACATTCCAACCTCCAACCAAGGTTCAAATTTTCAACACGATGTGCCCCGTATCAGGCATATCATATCGAATCAGTGACCTGTCAATACACGAAATTTAAGTCTTTTGGGGTCAAAAAACATTTCAGGGGGTAGGCAGGCCTTAGACCAACCGCTCTGAAAAGGTATTGAAAAAAAACTAAAAAAAAAATTAAGTGCAGGGTTCAAAGTACTGATACATCCCTTCCACCATATCGGGGAAAATCAATACTTTGAACCTTACCTCCAATTTCTACAAACTTCATCTAACTCTTCCCAGTTCCCACAATTCAGCTCTATCACAACCCTCATAAATATTAGAATACAAATTAGTAATTCGGTTTAAGTAGTTCAACCTCTTTTTAGTAAGTAAAAAGAAATATAACAGAAAAGGAGAAATTCCTGTAAATAGCATTAACATTTTTGCAATAGACAATAATACATGGTATGATGTATAATATGCTAGTAAAATAAGGATCAAACAATTGGAAGGTGCAATAATAATAATTTTCTGCAAGAGTAGAAGTAGTAAGTTCGTTTTAATAAAATAATACGTTTCTAGAAGACTAGAAATTAACCCAAAAACTACATAACACCTCCTAATGAGCCTTCCTTTAGAACTTTGTGGGACCTACATGCCCTATTTTCCATATTCTTTCCAAAATCTGAAAATTCCATTCTCCATGATTTCTCTTCAATTTTCCGGTCCTGTATTACTAAGGTATTTTGGCCTCTCTAATGACCTAGGCAAGACCTGGGTATTAGAAGAAAAATATACTCAACCAATTCAAATAATAACATAGGATAACTGATGGGGATACGTTGAGACTGATATGTCACACATGTTTTGCACTTACCTTAGGCACAGATGACATTAGTTTAGAGTTTATTTTGATTTTTCTTATCAGTAAAAAATTAGAGTTTATTTCGATTAATGTATAAATTTTTAGTAGGGATTATTTGTTATTTTTATATTTATTGTGGGTTTACTAGTATTTTTCAGTTTTAGGTTTCTTATAGATTTAACAATATGTATTACAGTATGTTATGTTTTGAAAGAGAAAAATCAAGACTTCTTCAACTTCCTTCTCTCCTTCCTTTTCTCTGTTTCTCTTCTTCTTAACAGGTTCTGCACCAATCACATTTCCATGCAAAGAAAAAGGCTAAAATGTAGAATGGAGTATACAGTAAGGATTTTTTAGCACAAAAATGCTACAGAAGCTAAGGTCATCAATTCGGCTGTAGAGGCTATAAAGAGTTGGATGTCTATACATACTGATTTTGTACGGTTTCTCATTGTACACAGGACCTTTTATTTAATACAAATATACTTTACCTTATCTCAGAAAAAAATAAGAGATACTATGCAGTATATACAAAAATAAGATGACATCATATATGATCATATAAACAATTAGAGTAACCAAATCCTCTAATTACATATATGCATGTGTATGTGTACCAAGTTAACTCACTAATCAATGACAAATAATAGTTCACTATTAGTAGATAAGAAATTGAAAATCTAAGTTGTCAAAAAAAGACATGTTTTCCAAACCTGAAATACGAGCCATGAACATTTGACAACATTCTTTTGGACAATTAACAAAATAGTTACTAAAATAAAGCAATAAGGAAGAAATATCACAGAATAAATAGCTTTCAACACATTAATATTAAATATTAAAGATATCAAAAAAACAACAAAACCCTCTAATTTATCACACATGGTCTACTCTTTTAGATCATATATGCATTAAAACATTTAGAACCACACTCCTCATTTTTAGGAGTACAGTTCTAGGGTGATTCGACTCCAAAATTGTACAATCAGCATTTTACATTTAAAGTGTGCCTCTGACATGTTTCTGATTACTTAAAATCTACACTGTCTATGTATCATCTTGACAATTGTTCAACATTCTATACACGAGAATACAGGAAATGGATAAATGAGTAGTATGCTAGCAAACAATGATTCTCAGCTATCACCCTGGAATAGAATATCTACACTGTCTACGTATCGTCTTGACAATGTCATTATATTTTTTTTCCTGGATAATAGCCAAAAACCAAAAACACAAGTAGCACATATCGTTATCCATTATATATATGAAACCAGCAGTATACCTGTACAAAGTGCTCGGAAATTCTCCGCAGTCTTGGGAACAATATCTGCAAAAAGCTGCAAATTCAAAAGAAAGAAGACATTAAGTGCATGCCATTCAAAAAGGACGCAAATTCCAAATTCCCCTATCAATAACAACAAATACAAAAAGAATAATAAGAACAAAAGAATCAAGGAGATAAGGCAAAGAGAGGATACTGAAATAAGGAATTTGAGTTGTAATTACCTCAATAACTACTTTTTCTGCAGGATTCCCATCAATGGATATGTCCAGGAATACAAGAGGGTTCATTTTTTTCACCATCCTTTCTCACTCCAAAAGTGCTGCTCAATTACTTCAACTTCTGGAAATCATGCAGAATAAATGATGATAATGATTATTGCAATGTTATTGATGATATCAATATAATGAAGGAACTGAACCAGTTTATATACACTTAGGGGCCATTTGATAATGGCTGAAATGACTGAACTGAATGATTTATTTCCATGTTGTTAGTAGATAAAATAATTAAGTAATAAAATATTTGAGGACCTTACAGCCTCCAGAATTCCTTGTTCGCTAAAAGACAAGGCAATGTCATTTAGTCAAGCCACTTCAGCTGTTACCAAACAGCTCCTTAGGGACAAATGACTAGATTATACCATATCAGCTAAAAAACAAACAGAACATCAAAATTACAACATAGAGTATGTAAAACTAGCTAAATATTTTGAAAAGCTAAAGCCTATGTTCTTCATGTCTATAGCACAAAGCTTGTGAATCAAAGTGTAAGTATAAGCCTCATAAGTCACGTGTAAGCATGTTAGCATATGCTTTTCAATAAAAAATAATATAATGAAGCTAGGGTTGAATTACATTAATTTGGACTTCCTTTCATTAATTATGTGAGAAACATGATTAGAACAAGAAGTTGTGAAAGGAACCAGCTATAGAAACTGTCCCAATTCAGTACTACATTTGAGCCCAAAACATGTGTTCTATGTACCCCTTGCTTGGCTAAGCTATCTGCCAAGCTATTAGCAGTCCTCCTCACCCATTTCACTTGGATTAACATGTCCTCTGACAGCCATTTGAGTTTTCTGAATTCATTCCTCAAATGCCATGCCACCCCTTCCCCTTTAACCAGCCACTTAATCACAGTTTTAGAATCTCCCTCAAAAATCAGCCTTCTAATACCCTGTTATTTTGCCTTCTCAACCCCAAAAACTGCAGCCAAAAACTCTGATCTTGCCACATCACCCTGCTCCACAGGGCCAGAGTATAAAGCAATTATGTTCCACTCTTCATCCCTAATGACTCCCCCAATACCTGAGGGCCCTGGGTTACCCAAACAGCTCCCATCAAAATTCAGTTTCTTCCAACCATTTATTGGAGGAGACCAAACCTCAACAGATCTTTGTCTTGTAGTTGAGGATGCAGTGATGGTACCCCAAGCTCTAAAGAAATCTTCAATCTTGAAATCTGAAAACAGCTTCAAACTTTTTGCTCAATGAGCTACCCTCAATGTTATAGTTTCAACCAAAGCTTCCTTGCTTCGTTCCCAGTGTTTTAAAAGCGCAAGGCACAGGGGTCAATTTGCGCTTGAGGCGCAAGGCGAGCGCCTTTTTAAGCAAGGCACAAAATTAAAAAAAAAAAATCAAAAAAAACAAAAAAAATATAAAACATAATATTAATAAAATATAAACTTAAATTTTAAAATAAATGTTTTAAAAATCTATTATCTAAAATTAAAATACATAAACATAATATGTAAAACATATTCAAATGAGAATTTAAAAATGAAGTCAAACATATAAAACATTTTCAAGATTATAAAACCCACAATCTCTTTCTTTTCTCAATTACATTACTTCAAGTAGCTAATGGGTCTTAAATTCTTAGTTTTCACACAAAAAATAATGATTTTATAGCTTTAATTGCTTTTTAAAAAGATATTTTATTAGGATGAATGAATGGACAACATTACCAAATAGGGGGTTCTTGAAGCTCTAGTTTGCTCGTGAAGACCCAAACATGGACTTACTTGGGTTGGCCTCGAGGGGCGTGGCACAGGGGTCCAGGGTGGAGCCCCCGGCCTAGCTGCTAGACTCAAAAGAAGGAATAAGTGTCAAATTTTCAAAAGGCACACGCCTGGGCTGAGGCGCAAGGCGCACCAGGCGTGCGCCGTTTGAAAGGGTTGCGCCTAGGACCTGGGTGAGACGCCTACCCTAGAATGTGCCTCGCTTGTGCGCCTAGGCGCGCCTCAGGCGTGCCTTTTAAATCATTGTCCGTTCCTTCTCTTCATATATTCTTGCATTTCTTTCCTCCCACACAGTCCAAATTAGCGTTGCTCTAGTGCATCTCTACAAGGTCCTACCCCTCTTTTTTGTACAACTAATGCTAGTAGGGCTAAACAAACCCTCCAACCTATCAGGAAGAAGACCACTTGCATCCAAAGAGAGAAGTAAACCAATCCCAAAAAAAGCTAATAAACGGGCAAGAGATAAGAGATGAATCGCAGTCTCACCATTCAACTTGTAGAGAACAGACCAGTTAGGGGACAAGCACCAATTTGGTCTCTTCCTTTGAAGTAAAACAAAGAGTATTAATGCTCCCATGAAACACTTCCCAACAGAAAGCACTAATTTTAGGGGGAATGGGAGAACACCAGACTTCCTTAACTGGGAAAGAATAGGAAGAAGAGGTGGCAACAGAGAACAAAAGGACTTGCAAGAGAAATCCCCCACAGAATTAGGATGCCATATTCTAGAATCCGAGCCACTTTCACACAAGAAAACTGAATTCAACAAGCTCAAAAGATCAGTCATCATAGAAAGTTCAGATTCTCTAAGGTTTCTAATGAAGCCAAAATTCCAATTCAATCCTGTAGAGAAGTGGTGCTGAGTAAGGAAGTCAGAGATGGGCCTACCCTTAAACCTAGAAATATCAAAGAGAGAAGGGAATTTAATACCCAGAGGGGTATCCCCAATCCACACATCCTCCCAAAACCTGATTTTTTGACCAGTGGCCAAGTCATACCTGATATGATGTAAGAAGGTAGGAAGATAATCATGGATGGCCTTCCATGGGGCAGCCAAGGTAACTCTACGAAGACATCCTGCATCCCATCCAACATTAATTTGGACTTCCTTGAACTTTCACAACTTGTTATAATTCTTGAATTTCTTCACCACGTTCAACATCTTCTCTACCAAAGTTGACTCTCCATCAGTTGATCTGTTGATGACAATACACCTTTATCTTACCATCCCAACAAGAGGTCCTGATTCATCTTCTTGATCCAGCTCAGATCCACCCCCACCCTACCAATAGGACTTTTACTTCTTTCAAAAGCTGGTATCAACTCTTGACTCCGATATTAGTCCTTCCATCTCTAATTCTCTCCTAAATGGCCCTACCTACTTTTGTCATGTGGAGAAATTCTGTGCTGAATACAGATATTCCATCAAGGAAGGGATCCATTAAAGTGGTATTGGCACCACGATGTTGCATTGCCATTTAGTGTTGAGTCGAAATGCCTACACAACACCACTAACCATACTTCAAGAAGTGAGGTTCCCAAGACGGCCATGTCAAATTCCATCAGGCTCCAGTTCAGTATGGTGGTTCTTCCCTCAGCTCCTGTTTGAGGAAATGTAGGCTTGACACTTCATCAATCATCCTCTGGTGTGACTTCCTAAACATAGTGGTTGTGCAACCGTTTCGAGTAAAAATGTCCCCAACCAAATTGTTTTTTGAATGTTAAACTCAACGTGCTTATGCGTCACTGGTGTGGCAGCATTCTAACCAAAAAAAGGAACTTAACACCATGGTGCCAAACGCCACAGCCACATATTCAATCCCGCGGTCAATATCACCCCTATCCAGGTTTCAGTTGAAGTTTTGCTCAATCAACAGTACCATTCGAATTTTTAATTATTTAATTTAAAATTTACCCATAAAAGAGGGTTTATTTTGAAAACATGGCCAGGCCTTTTGGTCCAAGATTTTTTTCCATGAATGAAGGATCAGGAAAGACATTTTTGTCAGTAAGCAACAATCAAAACAACTTTATCAATATCACTTGGGAACATAGAAACCTTGCTGTTGTGAAGTTGATGTGTCCTACTAATTTCAGATCTGGTGGTGGGCTTTGTGGGGATGGGGTGAATGAGGACTATAGCTGATTACAGATGAAGAATATGGATGGAAATGCATGTAGAATGCTTACTGTCCACAAAGAATGAGAAAGAAATTAGAAGAAAGAAATGAACTCTTGTTGTTAGGGTAGCTGCAAAGAGACAGATTGCTTAGAAGAAGAAATGAACTCTTGTTGTTAGGGTAGCTGCAAAGAGACAGATTGCTTAGAAGAAGAAATGAGAGAGAGACATTTCTGGCAACCAGATTACCAGATTTCACCAAACCAAACTTTATTTCATCAAATCAACTCTCCTTCAACTCCAACTGTAATGACTTATTTATACTCAACCTATGATTTTTTTTTATTTTTGGGTTGGCAACAGAAAAATATATTTTATTAAAAAGAAATAGTCACATCTCTTGAGTAGCCTCAGCTACCCCAGTAAAGCTTAAAACAGCAAAGAACACTTTCTTAGAGTTACAATTGAGCCCAAAAACAATGCCCTCTATTAACCAACAATGATTTATGAACTCGGATGTCCCTTTATAAACTTTAATTTGGACTAGGAAACTGACCCAAAACAGCTTCTGATCGCTTTAAAACTAAGACAAATCCAGAAGTAACCCACAATGACACTTAAAGGACTCCAACTCCTAAACAACCCTAATAAGACTTTCCTAATTCCACTAAAACTAACTTAAATTTAAAGAGACCAGAAATTACTAAAAATGGCAAACAGTAAACCACAAGCTTATAAAATTAATAATTGTGAAACGGCAATAAGATTATTAAAAAAACAGAACCGTGTTTTTAAGACACCAACAACTAGAAAATAAATAAATAAAAAGTGAAACAGTACCAATATTCTATAACCCAAAAATTCTGAAATTGGTGTAGAAATTGGAAAACTGATTTAATTCTCCATTTATTCTTTCCTTTCTTCCTTATCTGAATCAGAAGTGCCCGCTCATTCAAGTGTTTATTTTCCCAGTGCCCACTTATCTTGCTAGGAACTCAACCAAGGCATCAGCTGTCCGTTTAAATAAGCTGTTCCAGGGGACAACAAAAGCCTTGGCCTCTCTAAGCATTAATCTGAAAAACCCAGACTCTCAGCATAAATATAATCCATTGAGTTAACAACCATTACAGTAACCTTCTATTAGCAACCTGTACCAGACTGAAAAGTAGACCAACTTTAAGCATTGTAGGAGAGACAAAAGTTCAGCTTTTAGAAAGGTAATATATCCTAAAAAATTAACAATGTTCTTCCTTCATGTATTTTCAGAATGCCACCCCCAGATGGGCCACGTTTACCAAAAGAAGACCCACCAAAGTTGAACTTGTGTCATTTATCAAAAAAAAAAAAAAGTTGAACTTGTTTCTGCTCATGCTGGTGCAATTCTTCGCCTTTCTTGTGCAGACCCAACCACTACCTGTCATCCTCTAAGTAGAGAGTCCACAAATACACCACTTAAAGCTTCCTCTTATACCCAATTGGCCACTCTCACAGATTTAAGATCACCTCAGTCTTTTTCTTGTTAAAAATCCAATCATTTCTTTCCATGACACTCTCCAAAGGACTGCCACCCTAATTCAATTCAACAACTGTCCTTCTTTAGTCCTGAGCAAGGAAGTCTGTTTGAAGAAATCCACATATTATTTTGGAGGCAACCAACATGCTACAAATGAAGGGAAATTTTGGTTTCATATGGCTGTTGTAGAAGAGCTAAAAAGGGATAGATGGTTGACATTGTCTCCACTGTTTAAGGAAAGAACATGAACAGTAGGAGAGAGATACCAAGCTTTCCACCTCCACTGGAGAATCCCTTGGTATCGATGATTTTTAAAAACAGCTTCCCAGAAAAATGTTTTGATCTTGGAATCAAGTTGTACCAAGGGACTTTAATAAATGGGAAAGGAAGGGTCAGAGAAAGGCTAACAACAAGGCTTCTTCAAGAAGGAAGAGCAAGAGAAGTATCCCAAAGGATACAAAGCCCACACCCTAGAGTCTTTATCAAATAGCACCAATTTCAGAGGTTGCACATACAGAACAACTATGTCACTCGAGGGCTATAATGAAAGTCATGAAATACCGAAGCACAGTATAAACTACATTAAATCCAACTCGTGCTATGAAACTAACTCAAATAATACTAATCGGAAAGAACATAAAATACCAAAATTTAGGTGCTATGAAACCTCAGATCACCTCCATGACCAGGATTTCAATGTTAAATGCAATTTGAGATTTAAGGTACTCCTAATGCTTTCAATGTACCCTGGTATACCTTTTTGTCCTCGGAAACTAAAGAAGGAGCCATTGATGTTCAACACAGGAAACATTGATATGCATGCATAAACTACTTTACAAGGTAATTTCATCCATCTCGGGTCCTCTCCTCCAATAACATGGTACAGCATCTACCCATCAGTGCTAAAGAGAAAGTAGAACCCGCGAATATCAAAGACGGAATAAAAAAATGAAAATTTTGAAATTTCTCATCAAAAATATGCGCGCAATGGCAAGAAAACGAAACCCACAAACCATAAACCCTAAACCCTATCTGTAAATCTTCAAGCAGAGTCAAAACTGAGAATCTCAATCTGCATGTACGGAAATTTGAGCCGATGATAGAAAGATATAAAAAATGAAGAACGATTGCGAGAGACCAAAAATATCCAAAATTCAACCATACAAAAAGCATGTAAATGAAACGAAAAAAATGAAAAAAAAAAATAAAGGAATAAAAAAAAAATAGAGAGAGAGATAGAGATAGGACGCTTAACATTGTTACCTGGGTCCGACTAATCTTCTCCGGGTTCAGATTTCAGAAAGACAAAGTCTGGCCAACAGGAAACATAGTAGAAGCCGCCACTAACATGGACGCACAAGATGTTAGAGTAGGAGCTGCTGATGCTGTAAGGACTGGTTTTGCTTCAAATCCTTTGGAGTCTTGGCTACCGGCCTTACTGATTTCTATTTAGCCATTTAGGGAAAGAATAATTGCTGAAATCTCCCCTTAACTTTTAAATAAAATCTAAAATTCCCCTTACTCTTTAAAACCGTCCAAGAGGATCCTTATGTGTATCGGACTATCAGGATATCAAATTGCTGAAATCTCCCCGAAACTTTCCAGTTGTTGCTGAAATCTTCTCTAAAATCGCCTTTCCCAAACTTTCTAATTGTTGCTGAAATCTTCTCTAAAATCACCTCCACTGAACTTTGTGATATAGTTGCAACTTGCAAGTAGCCCTTTTTATCAAAATCCTTTAGAAGGAAGCAAGTATGAAAATGTCCAAAATACCCATAAAATTACTTTTTACTAAAATGTCCAAACCCTTTAAATCTCTTTTAAGAAATTGATTTATTTTTTTAAATTTGCACTTCATATCAATCACTCAAAGGTAAAGTTGCTACTTTAAATTATATATTTTTTTTTATTGTTATTGTTTTTCCTATAGAAACCGGCCTCAATAGTAGTTGCATGGATATTTTGGACATTTTAATGTCTCTTATTAATAGATTCTAACAAATGGGATCTGCTTGCAACTGTATTATAAAGTTCAAGGGAAGTACTTGTTATTTACCAAACTTCATAATACGTTTCAGCAATACTCAGAAAATTCAAGGATTGTTTCAGAATTATATTTTTTTGGCAAATGGCATACAGCCACCCTATGTGTAGAGAGTAATGACACTTAACCCCCTGACCTTTGTTTTGTAGTAACTCATAACCCCTAATTTCTGGATTCTAGCACTTTGCTCCTTGTCAAAACTTCTAAAATTAGGGCTATCAATGGATCTAGTTCTATCATGAGATTGAGTCTAGGTGGGGACAGGGTGTCCTAGTCCTATTTCAATTAATTACTAACTAGGGGGACTCATGCGATGCACAGGATTTATCAAGGAAAAATGAAACAATGGAAACTGATAATTATACTAATAATTTTAATAATTTGTTATAAAAATAATTTAATAGTTTAGATTAATTGTATTAACAATTTTTAATAAAAATAATAAATTATTATTAATTACTCAATAAATAACTATTATTTCATATTATCCGTTAGTATTTTATTTTAGTTCTTTTACTTTATTAATCATTAAATGTTATAGTTTAATTAATATATAGATTAACTTTTTTAGTCATACTTAAGTTTGGAGCTTAAGGTTTAAGATTGTGAAACAAATTCTCATCCCCATCTCCCTCATCTTTGTCCCCATCCTCAATTGGCTATCATTATCAATCCCCACCCTTGCTAAGGCAATGTCCATCCTCAACCCCATCGAGTCGGGTTAGGGAAGCTAAGTACCCGATGGGATGAGGAACATTGCCATCCCTATTCACATTCGAATCTTATTTGATGAGGGGTAATTTGGTCCTCCAGTGACATCGCGCCATGTGCACTTTCTAAACCGTTGCATAACACATCAATGCCATCTAGGCAATGACTTGCCTTCACCAAGATAATGGAGTTTACCTCGGAACCACCTTAAGCACACCTAGCACACCTTGAGAGTGTTTCAGTGCCACCACGGTAGGGTTAAGTTGGTGATCTCATGACTGAACCAAAGACATCAGCACGAGAAGCAACCTCCCACTAAGGTCCCACCAATCTGACTGAGGTCCAATTGGCGACCTGCGTAACATGGCCAAGGTTCAAAGTATCAATACGTATTAGGCCATACGCCCCTATAGAGGGTGTATTAGGGTTTTGACCGGTTCAAGGGGTGGATGGACCCCCTCTGAACCAGATTTGAAAAAGAAAACTAAGAAAATAAAAAATGAAAACTATCAATACTACCTGATACGCCTCTACCAGCGTATCGAGCATATCGATATTTTGAACCTTGAACATGGCAACCAGCCTCTGCCACATATGACTTATCGTCTCCGAGTCCTCTACGATTGCGTCACCTCACCAATGGAGATAGCTCTTGCACCGCCCACTTCGTAGGTAAACGGATAAGCTTTATCACTTTATGCGGAAATTGTCTCTAAACGTGAAACAACCTCCAAGCGTGGCGGGCCAATAAGCTACGTCCTCCCAAAGATCTCGAACGCACTACGTGAAGCTCACAACTACCTGTGCCTATATAAAGGTGCCCCTTCAACCAAAAAAGGTACATGTGATTTAGCTCTCATGACTCTCTTGTTCTCTCGCTTTCTAGCTCTTTAAAAACACCCATTGATAACTTAAGCATCGGAGTGCCAACCCTGGGTAAAGCACCCTGAGTACTCTGATTGTCTTGTTGCAACTCGGCCAGCCGACCTTGACAGACAAGTGTCCGAGTTGTCCAACAATAAGGAGCACTAGATTGTACACCATCAATTGGCGTTGTCTATGGGAACCGCTACACAAAATCTAAAGTACTCACAAACCTACTGACTATTAAGCAATGGCTTCACCTAACAACATCAACAATGCCGACAACATCCAGACCAACGACACCTCAACTGGGGGGCAAAACCAGTCTGTCCAGAACGTAGTAACTCAAAATGTCCAGATAGGGTAAATCTCCATCCCCCTAACATTGTCGACCATCCCGATGTTTTCAGGATAGAGCCTCCCTTCATTTCCCACTTCGTCTATGCCTCCCCCACCGGTCGAGCCATCAATGGTTCCCATTGGGGTTGATGACCAATAGTTCCAAGATCCGCAGCATTGACATGCGAATGCAAAGCTAGAAAAGTTGTCTCGTTGCACTGGCCTGGATGCAACAGCAGTACATGCCTGGCCTACAGATGCCACGAGTACCACAATAGCAAGTCGTCAGTCAGGTCCCCACACCGATAGTGAACTTGACCCAGCAACTCGACGACCAGAACCAAAACCAGAATCAGGTGCAGGAGTCCCTCCGCCAACACAACGTCCCAAACACCAACAACACATAAGCACCTGGGACCGCTGACCAGAAGAGGACTCACACCTCGGAAGCTCGGGACTCCACCTACGTCTCAAGTGAAGAAACTAGTCGGGCGACCTCTTTGGTTGGGCCTATGAACACCGGCTCTAATGAGGGGTTTCAAAGGAGACACTAAAGACATACCTAATGTGATCCTAGAAAAAGTCGTTTCGCACCAAAGGATGAGGAAGAAGCACCAAAGAAGGAAGTCAGTCGGACCACCATGTCGTCCTGCCCCATACGTTTCTCACACATCTTTGTTGTCGATCGATATCCTTGCAAACCCTCGGCCCAAGGATTTTAAGGCCCCCAATCTCAAATCATACAATGGTGTGACCTCCAGGAAGCTCATGGCTGGATCAAGGAGATGAAGTCGCCACCCATTTTTTAGAGGAAATGGGCCCTCATTTTTAAATTTCAAAATTCAATTTAAGTCTTTGATAGTGACTCCGTCTTCCATGAAAAAGGCACATAATTGAGAGATTTCAGGTCCCAAGGATTGAGGGAGGGAAGGTATTAGGCACCCCCCCTCTCCAAGCTATTGTAGTAGCCCACTACAGGAATTGCTCAGGCTCAATTTCTTTTAGAGAAAAACATAAATGGTTGCAGGAATTTCTTAAATATGGAGAAACATACTTTCAACTTCTCCTAAGACCAATTTTGAGGTGATGTTATCGGGTCTTAGGTACTAATTTCCCTAAGACCATCACCTCTCTGCCTCTATTCTCAGTCAAGAAGAAATTACAAATGATGGTTTTCCAACATTTCAGAACCTTAAGCAATCCAGAAACACTAAAAAAGACTTACATTTCGTATGTACCTTGACAGAAGTTTTCTAACAACTAGAGATGAGATAGAATGAAGTTTAAATGGGTTCCTGAGCTAGGGGTGCTTTTGGTTGCAACAACTTCCGCTTGAAAATGGAAGAGGCAAGTTTGGAATTTGGGGTTTAGAGTACCTCCAAATTTCAGGTGAACAAGAGGCAGTATATGGGCTAGGAGAAAGTTCTCTTCTCTCTTTCTCTTTAGGGGCCTCCCTCAAGTTTCCTCCTTCTTCAGTCCCTTTTTGAGCTTAAATTAGATTAGTATTTATAGAGAAGAGGAGGGGGTCAGGTCTGAATTCGTTCAGCTAGTGCTTGGTATTCAATAGAGGTTTTTCACACAAATAGGCAAACATTCTTCAAAGAAATAGATGTCCAGTCAAGTTTTCCTGTTTGGTGAAACATTTTCTTCGATTTGGGGGTGGTTTTCATGGGTTTTGTGCGTCCAGTGGGATTTTGGGGCGTACTTGTCATGGCAATCTCATATTTGGGTCCGTCGGTGGTAGAAAATATAAATTTGTTGAACTTTAAAATGATATTTTGTCCTTTCTTAGCCTTAAAGTAGGGATATCTCAAGGTTTTTGGGCTTTTTGGGATTATTAGACTCTATTCCATTCGTCCAAGTGTTCTAATGGGTCAATAATGGGTATGACATTAGACATCACCCTTTTGAGGCTTCATGTTGGGACAGATGGTGTAGCAATTTAATCTGGTGCATTAAAATGGTATATTTCTAGTTTAACGGTCAAACGGATGAGTCTGGTAATGAAATTTGGCATGCTGGGGTTTTTTGGGTCTCTAAACAAAGTGGTGGCGTCTGATCGGACAAATAGGGCCAGAATAATGGATATCCATGACTGACAAGTTTGGATTAACGAGATTTGCTGAAATAAAATCTTTGCTTAATAAATGGTCAAACGGAGGAATTTTGGGATGGAATTTAGTGGATTGACACTTTTGAACGTCCTAAATCTAACGGAAGTGATGAATCTTTGATCAGAAGTGTAGGTTGACTGAGTCTTAGCTTATGGTTTTCCAATCAATAAAAAGGCTTGAAATGGAATCTTACTTTTTTAACAGTCAAATGGATGTGTTTGGTCGTGAAATTTGACGTGCTAGGGATTTTTGGGTCTCCGAACACAATGGTAAGGTCTGATTGGTCATATCAAGTTGGGGTGATGAAATCTCTAATTAATGAGATTTGTTGACATAGGATATAAGTTTGGTGGGGGGTCAAATGGGGGAATTTTGAGCTACAATTTGGTAGGTAGGCATGGATTAAGGTGATGAGTCAAGTGAAAGGTTTTGATTTGAGAAAGATATGGTTGATCTTGGTAATCATTCAGGGCCATCAGAATGAGATCTTGATGTTTTTTTGTTGTTGATCATCGTAGATTCATGCTGGGATTCGCTAGTTGATTGTTTCCTAGTGATCTTGGGTGATGGATATGTTGGATTTGATTTTGGAGGAGTAGGA